TTATTATTTATATTTTTTAAAACATTACTTTCTTGTTTTTTCACATTCCTAAATCTACATCGGTTTGTCTAGGTTCTGCTTCTGTTACCTATTATCTTATCAAATACGCGACATAATAGTAAATTATTAAAGAGTACCTATTAAGTCAGTTTTTTTTTATTATTTATTAATATGCTGCGTTCCATAACTTCTGGCTTGGTCATGAACTTTTGATTTTCAATCAGGGACCGTATCTATACTTTACGTACCGTACGTAAGGGTGGGAGCACGGAAGAAAAAAACAATGGAAGTACCTTATCCCTCGACTACTATCAGAACCACTGTCGCCGAAACTGACACATACATAATTTTGAACACTTTGAAATATTGATAATGATTGATAGTAGTTTCTAGAACGCGCTCGACTGTTATGGTAGATAAACACCAGTCAAAAACGCGGAAAATGCATAATTGTGCCATTATAAACTGCAAAAGCACCAAAACTGTGTGTAAACGGGTAAACAGGGACGTTTTCTTACACGGCAAAGTGATTTTGTAATCAGAAAATGCATAATTTATTTTAAAAATAATTATTTGGTTTTGTATGAATTTCGAGAAAACAAATATACAACTCCGTATGTGCCTCATACATTTGTAATATATTGCGGCTTTTACTTGGTGCGATATACTTGGGATCCGTTGTTAATACGCTATGAATATCGAACGAACGCACTTTTACATAATGCATTCAGTTTCTGTGGTACGGCCGCTTGTACATTTTTTTTGGCCAAATTTAACATTTAGTGATGTACACGTTAGGCAACACTGTTCTCGATTATGATCGATTTTGAAAACAAAGGGACGAAAATTATTATGACCTTAGCAATATTATAAAATATTATATAACTCGTTACAACGTTTAGTAACGTTTCGTTTTTTTTTTTTCAGTTTTGTAGTATCTATTATGAGTAGTATCTGTAATTTCGATAATTTTTGCAGCACGTTGCCTCGAATGTCCGAATATAGTGAGCAAATAATTACTTATTAATAGACATCGGATTATATGCATTTGCATGTTTGCATATGCAAACGCATATAATGCTATTTTTATAGCGTTATTGCATATTTTGGTACTTTTTCATTGACAGTGCTTATTTTAGTATTTATACGTGTTAGACGTGTTGTACTACGCCGCCGTCCCCACACCACACATCAACACATCGCCCTCGCACGCACTGCGAGAGCGCATTGAGAGCGATCCGCGAGCGTAGGTACTCGACTCGCTAGCGCTAGGCGAAAGCGGGATGCGGTGACGCGCGTAGGGGGAAGGGTTGAAAGGTCATTTTCAGCATATAAATTAGTTTTAAGTGACAAACGTCACAAATTTGCGCCAGAAAACCTTGAAAAATATGTTATTGTATATTGTCACAATAATTACAACCAATAGTACCTATATATGTATTGTAGAAATAAAGTTAATTCTAATAATGGTTTTTTGATTGTGCATATTTTGTGCATATTTCGCCCTTTTTTAGTGCATATTTGCATGCATATTTTGGCATTTTGATAGTGCATATAATCCGATGTCTACTTATTAATTATTACTATTATTTAATTATTTCGTAATAACAAAAAATATTGCAAAGAATTAACAGTGCGCTGTCTTTACAAAAACCTAGAGTTGGTCATACGTATGAGTTCGTTGCTTTCGAGAACGAAGGTGGTCCAATCCAAATATGCAGAGTAGCAGAGTTATAAATCCAAAAAATAATAAACAAATAACAAAAATGTCACACGAGGCCATTATTAAGTAAACCTCTTCTGATTAATAAGATGTTACCACATTTTGGCAGTAGTAACATTTTCGTTTGTCTTGCCATTCATCAATTTGATCAATTACCAACAGAAAACCATCAAGTAAAATTAATTAAGACAGTCGCAAGTTCATATATTGAGGTGAGTTTTCATTATTTAAGTTAATCGATGAGATCTTCTGTTACAAAAAGATGTTATATAATAAGTCATTTTACTGGAAGGACAATTACTTTAATATTTGAAGTCGATTAAAAAGTAAAGTCTGAATTTTTTTAAAGTAAAATAAAGGACTAAACTATCTTATTCTAGTATTTTTTCTATTATATTAATATTACGATTACTTGTAATCAACAAATACTTGATCAAAAATTATTATATTTAGAATCGATTCATTGAATCGTAGTTTCTAGAATTATTCCAATATTCCATTCTGGATCGAAAAACACTTAGTTGGTGCGTCTTCGCTTCAGAACAAGGACGAAGGTGGTCTAGTTTATCCCACCAAAGATGCTATCCAAATATGCAGAGTAGCAGAGTTAGAAATCCGAGTAATCATGATAAAGTCACAAGAACTTTACATGAGGCCGACATTAAGTAAACCTTAAGTTACTTTAGTAAGATTTTAAATATTTTGTCAGCAGTAACATTTTCAGTTGTCTTGCCATTCACCAATTTGCCCAATCACCGAAAGAAAACCATCTAGTAAATTTAATTAAGGCAGTTGCAAGTTCATATATTGACGTGCGTTTTCATTATTTAAGTCAATCGATAAGATCTTCTATTACAAAAAGACAGTTATATAATAAGCTTATATTATTTCAAGGACAATAATTTTAATATTTGACGTTGATTAAAAATTAAAGTTTAAATTATTAAGTAATCAATTTTTTTTTTAAACAATTTTCAACAAAGGACATAAGTATCTTGTTTTGGTATTTTTCTACTGTATTAATATTTCACGACTACTTGTAATCAACGAATATTTACTTGAATCGATTAATTGAATGGAATACGTGTATTTCGTTCAATCAATCTATTTATCGCGGAAGGAGGTTTCCCATCACTAAATGTTCTTGTGGCGTCATGGTGGATACATAAAATGAGACACGCTCGGTTTTCATACAAATTGCTGTACTTGCGGCGTCTATCTAGATATATGTCTGTGGTGTGAATGGAAAGTTTCACAGGTACGCCTGGCGACAAGCTACACGCCTAGCAGTGCCGTCGTCGAAGTAGCGGTGTCGAAGGCTCTGCTGCTTCGCCTCTACTAATTCCGAGTCACCTATAAGCCTCTTGGCACGCTTGTCAATTGAATCCAAGGTGGTCAGTTGATATGTAGCTGAGCCATCCCAAAGGTGGCAGCAGTACTCCATGCACAACCGGACTTGTGCTTGGTACCGCTGAAGCAACTGTCCCGGTGTAAAGTAACGCATCACCCTGGAAAGGATGCCAAGCTTCCTTGCTGTATCTGTGGAAATGGATTGGATGGATTTTTTTGCGGAACTTCTAATTGGACGACGGGTCCATTCCAAGTTCTTTGTTTTGTGGATAAATCCTGCGTTTTGGTAACATGAAATTTGACAAGATTTTAGTCATGAGTAGAGTTTTCGATCTAACCATAAGGCTTATTCCAGCTCGAGTTCGTGGGCTGTTTCAGAAAAAAGGACAAAGTCGTCGACCAACTGCAGATTAAGAAGAAAATTTGTCTTCGTCAATGCCCCTTTCCTTAATGTGACTGCCAAGCTTCTAAAAGATAAAAAAAAAACAAATAAATAAAAAATACGGTTTAGAAATCTATGGTCTGAACAAACTGATATTAAATGGATATTAAAGATAAACTCGCCCATGACTAGTATATACTATTAATGTTTATATATTTCTTCTGAACATAGAAGATTAATTACGTATAAAAATGCTTTATAAGTGGTAAGTTTAATATTGAGCATTATTTACAAGAAACTGATGCCAAAAAAGTTTTACATTATCATATTTCTTTAAATAATATACAGGAATCTGCGCTTGTTTTTTTTTTTACACAATTGCTGTGTTAAGTATAGGCTCGTACAGCTAATGAGTGTCTGATGTCTCAGTTCAGTTAATGTCCAGTCCAGTTAGAAAAACTTAGTTCAATTATGGCAGTTGTATATAACCCAGTTTATGTAGAGCCCTGACACAATTTTTAGAAAGTTTTCTATTGACACTGTACGGTATAAATACACAGTCAAGTGATTGCTGAGTTGCTGGTTCTTGTTTTACTTGCCCGAATCCAAAATTAAGTTTTTTTTGCAAGTGCAAAGTTAAAATTATGCTAAAAGACTTTTATCCTAGATGAAACTCGTTACATTACGTTGACAAGTGACACTTGGCGCCACAGATGTATCACGATTTAATTGTTTCGATATTCACTTGGACGTTTTACAGTTGATCTGTAGGTAATAATTACTTAACTAGGTAAAAGGAATAAAACACATTACAAACTTTATATCAGAGCGTAAGAAACGCTGTTTTTTTTGTTTATTATTTTATTCGAAAAAGTTCTTGCGTAGTTTCAGTCAGGTAACTTCCGCAAGGTTGTCGTTCGCCGTTAAACTGTCATGGTTCGCCTAAAGTAGGCAGTGGCGAGGCGCCAAATGACAATTAATCGCACACATCACTTCATTAGTAGCGCTGTGCAAAGTCACCCGTGTTACTACTCGTGTATTAATTAATCTTTATTATTATTAACGACAGTAGCACAGGTAATGATAAATAGAATGCCTAAGCATACGGTCGTTTTCTAGCCCACTATTAGTCAATAGTCAAAAAGTGACTGAGTGATTATCTCTTAGCGACATTTATTCTGATACTAACTGCGCCATCTGTGGATGAGTTTAAAAAGTAAATACAGATATTTAAGTAAACGGTCATCTAGTGTCAAGTAGCAGAACTACTACAAAGTTTAGTCAACATGCTCACTAAACTTTTTGACAAATCAATTATAATGCTACTAGTTTAGAACGACAATACGTTTTAATAGCATTCATACACAATGTAGTAAAAGCTCGTATACAGTAGCGCCATTTCGATTGTGGTATGTAAGGTTTTAAATTAGCGGCGTAAGTGCAATAATGTCGATTGACATTTCTGACGTTTGCTCTCTATTGCAAACTTGTATTGGAGCGGGAATGTAGAAATCAAGTTTGTAGATTAGAAGTGATTGTATTTGAGTGGCCTTATAAATAAAATCGGACATCACAATGCCGCCAAGTAGCCTACGAGTTGTGTACGCGTTCGCTAGAGAAATGCACCCAAAAACCACTGATGTAGTCATTCAATATGGGACCGCTGGATTCCGAACAAAGTAAGTCTATTTTCCAAAGTCACTTAAGGGTTTTTCCTCTCTAATTAGATGCAATAGGTCAAGCAACGTATAATATTTGTGTGACCTTACGCATTCGTGCGTTTTAAAACCTGTCACGTCGACAAAAATGGGCGCAAGTTTAAAAAGTAATTGTTTTATTCCTTTTAGGACAGTAGATCACGTTCGTGAGTCATTTGTGTGATCATTTATAACGATTTTATAACGGGAAGTCGCTGTCGGTGCCGCGGGCATGGTCATTGACTTCTTATAGTATATTTGTATGGCAAAACAATGGGGGATAGGTTAGTCGTATTTTCATAGAAATCTATAATTGTTGAATGTAGGTCATATTAGTGGCCTTATACAATGATTAATTATGAAATTGTTTTGAAAAGACCTTGTTAATGTTAATGTTTAATTAGCTAGTTACGCAAGCTATTACACTCATTTGTAACTGGTTGCAAAAAAAACATCCTACAAATGAATCATTATCACAAGGTATATAACATATATCCTTTTGGGTAGAATGATCATTTGGAAATATTTATTGGTATTATGAAAGTGTACAGTAAACTACAAATCCTAAATCTGTATTTAAGAATAAACCTTATTGCGTTTCACAATTTTTATTTATAGTAAATGAACAGGTTTCCATAAGATAAATGGAAAATGACCTTACCCTATCCCCTATTTAGACTAGGGAAACGCTGTATCACGGGTGCCATGGACATGCACACATAGACAACCACAAATTACACCCAAGCTCATGAGAGAAATAAATGTAAGCTATACATATACGTGCAGCACCCGGACAAACCAATGTAGGTTTAAGGGTGTGATGTATATATATTTTTGTAATATTCTTAGTGTTTAAAATCAAATAAATAAAAATAAAAAAAATATTTCTCCCAGCTCGGGAATCAAACCCAGTACCTCTGCATGACAGTCCAGTGTTGGAACCATTTGGCCACAGAGGCACTTATACAAAACATGACACAAATTAAAAAATATATTTATTTCATAAGTTAATTACACTTGAAATTATAACATTGCTTAAATTCTGAAGGGAATGGTACTCATTCCTAAAGCAGACTCCCCTGAGAATAATGAGTAAGCCACTCTCAGAGTTACTTTATTTTCTGCAATATTTTGTTTACATATCTACAGCTTACTGCATAAATTGCCCATGTAAAATTCCCCTAATAATTAAAACCAGGGTTGTTGCCAATATCAGCATCCGTGGATAATCTGTATAGGTGAATTAAAATATCCACATCAGCATCTGCATTCATCAACGCCGATATTCATTGCAGATGTTTGAGTCAAGACATAACCTAATAGGCATGCTGGAATAATTCACATTCCAGAAACAGACCGTAAGCCAAAAATGTAGCTCAGCTGTGTTTCTAAAATATAACATAAAATTCCACAATGATTAAACTTGACTGATTGATTGTTTTTGAAGATTGATTCTTTTGTTATATGTCACAAAATCATTGAAAAAATGAAAGCTTTTTCATGAAGATCGATTCAGCAAGGATGTACATTTTTTTTAATACTTAAAATCAGCATCTGCTGATGTTAAGGCCAAAAATCTGCATCCACTGATGTGTAAAAACCTGCATCAGCAACAACCCTGATGAAACTAGAGTCATAATATGTTCTAAAATTAAATTCAATTAAATTAAACAAATTTGCATTTTTACCAACATTGACTCTGATCTGGAGCTATAAGTGTCAAGAATTAAAAAAAACTTTTAATGACGACCATCTTGCATGATACTCTCCAGTGACAGTTCTCAATTAATTTAATGGTAAACTAACATGTGTTGATAGATCATAAACAATGTGTTGATGGATCATAAACAGAAAATAAATTTCTTATTATGTTCAAATATGATTTATAGTTGGAAATGAAACTATTTTTACATACATACATAATATTACGCCTTTTTTAAGTTATTAAATGTCACGATGTTTGACCACCGTAATATTCAATTATTTTAATTTGAAATTACTCCACTTGTTTGTTATAGTTATAAATACAAAGATCGAACACTTAAAAAAATTCCTTCGATCCGGCTGGATTGGAACCAACGTCTTCCAGCAAACCGTGTCAGACGCTATGCCAACAAAGCCACGGTACGAACCGACCTTACGAATTTTTCTCTGTAATTGTTGGAGATCTTTGTTTTTGGTTTTTAACGACTTTTTATCCGTAGCGCCATCTGTAAGAAATCTATTTCCCATACGCAGAAACCACAGACTGACTGCCAATAGGACCCATAAAGACCCTGTAATCTTGAGTTCTTTGAAAAAGGCAAATCACGAAAATCTAAGAACTATAGGATTTATAGTTAAATAAAACAAAATTGAGAACAAAATTACCTTTTAATGTTGACCAAATTTGGCACCTTTTAACAATTTCAAAACACAGAGCGCTGACAAACATCTTTACATGTCTAAAGCAAATTTCTAAATTAGAGTTGTTGAGTATCAAACAATGCTTTTATTCAGTAATGCTATTACAGCTACTGTTTTCGGTCCAGTGCTACACACCTGTAACATTGTCCAGCTTAAATTTCGGCTTGACTTCTGAAATTGTGGCCTTACTGTTTTTTGCTTACTATCTATAGAAAGAAGAACGAAAGAAAGAACATTTTATTCAGTACCATTCATTTTAAATTGTACTTACAAAATAAAATAAACACTAAATTAAATTTAAATGTAAAGATACTGAATGGGCACCACTCAGCATAGACTGGTATTATGTGGAGTCCATGGAGTGCGTCACAATGTAGCGATATTTTTTTAAATAATCTTAAATATTCATAGTCAGCTAGACCTTGGAACTATAAACAATCCGTTAGTTTGTTTGAAAAAGAAATATATCCAATTATAGATCCTATTATTTGGATCCTACTATAGTATTGACGTGTTAGTAACAGTAGAGTTCTTTGTGGAAGAGTTCATCAAGGGAAGTATTTTACCTATTTCTGCTGCCAAGCAATAATGTGAGCATTACTGCCTTTGTCTTTGAAGGGTAAGGGTGAAATTATAGGCACATGGAACTTGTCAACTTATGTCTATTCTATTTTCTTAATGGCGGCCACTAGGCTTGGGCCAGTGTCAGTTTCGATTAATGTTGTTGTGTACTTAATTTTGGTCAATAACGTCAAAGTTTCGGTAGCAGCAAGATGTTTATTTTTAGATGAATCTCTTCGACGGAATGCTGTTGTGGAGATCATACCTGGGGTAAAAAAAAAAACAATTATGGACAAACAACAGACAAAACCATTATATTATTAAAGCGTATAAAATCACACAAAATATTAATAAAGGGAGAATACACATAAAGAAGGAGGGATTTAAGGGTAATAGGACGAGGAATGAAGGAAGGAAGGAGGTCATACAAGGATGAAGTCAATTTAGGACATTCAAAGAAAATTTATTAAGAAATATATTATTAAGAAAACCATGGTTTAACTGGGATGTTTTTTTGAACGTCGGCATAGTGCGCGCTCAACTTATGTCTCAGAGTGACGGGCGTAGTGACAGTGCCCCGCAGATCTTTGTGAGAAACCTCTGAGTGACATGTCTAGTTCGTCCGTTTGCTATCATAAAAAACTTCATTTACTGTTTGTAGTGATTTTTTAACCGTAATCCAATGGGTATTTAATAATAAAATTAAATACCCATACAGAGTCAGCCTTGATCATGTGTGCTATAAACAAACCAAAACGTCAGTTTGTTTGTAAAACGAATAAACACGATCGTAGATCCTAAAAAGTAGTCTTCAATTGCCAATCTTAAATATTCCAAGTCTTCCGTACATTTAGATCTAGTTTTAAAACTGTTTTGATCTTAAATATGAAATCATAAAGCACAAAAATAAATAAATAGGTCAGTCAACTTCCTCAGGTCAGTAAAACTTCAAGGTATTTTCTTCCCACAATAATTCACTGGAAGCTATATCTCCACCAGTTTAATGTGATCTTTTACTGTTCATATTTCAACTACATTAACTACCTGTCCCACTATTGGACTCAGGTTTTTCAGGGTGATAATAATATTGTAGTCTTTATCATTGCCTTGTAAAAAGTCCCCATTGTACCTTTCTCACTGTGTATTCTTTCATTAAATATTTTAAAAGTATGTATAAATACTTTCTTTTTTATATATACTTTTATCACATACTTTTTATATTTATTCGTTATAAAACGTCTATGTACACTATACAGGGAAGTGCAACCTTGTAAGGATTACTGATTACCTTGTAAGGATATAATAATAGAGGCTGCAATGAAATTTTTTATCTCTAGATCATGTGAAATTTTATCATCTATATTATGTATATATATATGTGTGTGTGTGTTTGTGTGTGTGTGTGTGTGTGTGTAAGATATTATTTTTCGCTTAATGCATTGTAAATATTTATCATTATTCTAAAATAGAAGCGACTATGTGTTGTTTTATGTACATACGTTAGCACTACATCGTTGAAACAATTTTCACAACGCACGCATTTTACACATATGACGTAGACACTAGGATCCTTCACATTTGGACTCCACTTTCCATTTTAACATCAGGTTGAGTGGAGACGTCTGCCTGTCATGTACAAAAAATACCGAAATAGAGCCATTTGCTTATTGCTTTCACTTTATCTCTATCAAAGTCAAATAATCATTTATTCCATAACATTTTTACACTTGAAATCGTCATTTGAAGCTACTGCTCGTTCTCTGTGCTGACTTCCCTGACAGGAACGACCAGGTACAGGTATTTCTCTTTTCAAATAAGCTCAAACGCTATGGAATACACATCAAACATATTTGTATGGAATCTATCACTCATGTTGTCTTTCCATACGTCTTTTATCTAACACATAGTCTTCGCTTTTGTAGTATGACTATTTAAAAAATTTTAATGTAAGTTTTAAACTTAGTAAAATGATAATCTTAGTATATGCTCCGGAATCATATAATAATAAATAAATA